TAAAAGGTTAGAAAAAGTATGTTTGCTATACCAATCTTATGGTGGGAGCCTAATAATCATGTGGATGACTAATATTTTTGTTCTATAAATCAAAAAAGCTACTAACTAGAAAAACCAACAAATGCTTGTCTACCCTAACCTTGTCTCGGCTATGAGATCGGTTCCACAAAGTGAAGACTTTCCTATTCCTAACTTCAGTACCTTACCTCAGATAAGCTCAGCCTTAACTAACAAAGATTCACACCCAATAGAAAAAGAAAAGACTTTTTAGTTGAAGCCATACTTTAGCTATTCTTCCAGTTAGAACTAAATAATCTAGTTCATGATCCTCTCTGAAGCTCCCAAAAAATTCTGCAAAAATGTAAGCTTCCATGCTGTTCACATAACCTTTTAAAGAATTTCTTTGTTTCTCACCAAGAAACTTTTTACAAAATGGCATCAAGGAATACAAACCAGAGGATTGAAGTCTTTTTATAAATAGTTCTAAGAGTAATTTTAAAATGAGTATCATTACACACTAGAATATAGATAAAGAACCATTTGTATGGCTCGCTCAACCACTTAACATCTCTGAAGGAAATGTATGCAGAAAATAGGTCTTCAGAGAAGATACCATATACTACGATCATAAATGGGTCATTTGTGTTGCGCTAAAGATAATAAATTTTCTTATGAGACATCATCATCATAACCTTCAGGGGTTATACAAAACTTTTTGTGCATGTAGGACAGTAGAGATCAAGAAAATATATATGTTAAAAAAAACAAGTAAGGCTCTATGAAGAGCTGCCAGTATATTGAAAGGACCTTTAGCTGAGCAAGAAAAAACTGTTTTCTCTTTTTTGCACATCAAATCATGAGAAAAATGGGGACTGCTTCAAGTATATCTGCAGCGTATTTTCAAGTATATTAATTAAAAAACATAAAGCAGAGATTTTTGATCGGCCATTAATCCATAAGATCTTGAAGAACAAAAATTCTGTTAAAACAATGAATAAAAAAGAACCATCAGCTTGGCAAGCTTTTATGTGCAAAATTTTCTTATGAAACACAAAACTAAATCTATTAAGATATTGTTACCAACTTGATATCATGTTGTTGTGATATTGAGCATCAAAATGGATTTTCTCTTTGTTCATCTTAATTATTTTTGTCAAAGTCTGGGAGTTGTTAGTTATGCACAAGGTGAATGATTCCATCAGGACATTTAGGAGATAAAAAATCATTACCAAAAACATTAAGATGCGATGATAATAGCAGACTATTGCTAGTGTTTAAAATGAGTTCCTCGACATTCACGGTCAGCAAAGAAGCATAAATTTAATCGTAGAACTTTCTCTTAAATATTTCTACTTACGTGCTTATCTAAATTTTATTTGTGTTGAGTTATTTATATTGTTTCACATAGTGTCCTTAGAATTAATAAAATACTGTTACATAAAAGTTCTTGTTTAATTCCCCTAAAAAAATTATGAGCATTTATTAGCATTTACACAAGTAAAAATTTCAAGGAGAGTAAGAAACCTTTTGAAAAAAACTTTTTTTTATGGTTTTTTTCAACAGGAAAAAAACTTTTTTTTATTGTTGTTTTCATGTTTAAAAAAAAAACAACCTTAAATACCTTTTTGTTGCCCAATGTAATTAAGTTGATGACTATTCCAAAATCAAGTTTAACTTTTGTAAATAATAATCTTTTTTTATTAAGGACCTTTTTAAACATTTTTGCAATATTCCTGACTGTTGTTATAATAGATCCAAAAACTTGTTGTCTAATTTTAACCTCAGATGTTTCATCAATGAATCACTTAAATCTTGAATAAAATCTTTCTCTTTCACATAATCATCATAGTTGTCTTCATTGTATAAATCTTTCACTAGCATAATCATCATAGTTGTCTTCATTGTGTTTTTTTTTGCACCTAACTTAGCATCATGTTAAGTGCGAGTAATAAAGATATTAAAAAAATTTACCAGACGTAAATAAAGTAATGTTATTATGCAAAATTTTTGCATATCAACATTACTTTATTTAATGTTATTATTAAACTTTTATTACTTAATAGAATGTCAGTTAAATAGAATGTTAGTCGAATGTATTTTTAATAAAATGAAAAATGAAAAAAAAAATTAAAAACTTCGATTTAAAATAACTAATGGAGAAATAATAAACTATTGTTTAAAAATTAAATTTTGGAGAAATAATAAACTATTGTTTAAAAATTAAATTTTAAATAAAACTTTGGCAATGTTGAATGCCATATTGAAAATTGTGTTTATCTTGCACTATGTTCAATTTATGTAATTACACTTTTTTATCACTATTTTATTTGTATTTTTTTTTAACTCCATAAATTTAAAATCAATCAGTAATTTTGAGAGTTATCTATGATACTATCAGATGGGCCAACACTGATTATTATTGTTATATATCATACGTTTATCTATTATATATTATACGTTTATTATTATTATATATTATATGTTTATTCTAATCATTATTCTAATCGTTTATTCTAAATTTTTTTTTTTTTTTATTAAATCAAAACTTTACCTAAAATTAAGCATCATTTTATTAAGTTATTTTGGCAGCATAATTTTGTTTAATTTTCAAAGTCTGCAGCTAAACTTCTTGCATAAAACTTACATAAACAGAATCTTCTTGCTCCTGAAACTAGTGAAAAGTGCATAAAGATATCATGAAGCATGATTAATACAGTCCTTTTCAAGAAAGCAAGACTTATTGTACTGTAATAATATTGAAGCTCTTGTCACATGGGAATTTCTTATGAGGTCAGTCAGCTGAGATTGTTTATTGATTCATAATTGTTTATAATCAGTGACACACTCCTTAACACTGAAATGAAACAAGAAAACAAATAACTGATGCTCATTTCTTTGAATTATGACCAGCACAAGTCATTGATATGTGGGGATTTAAAGATCATACCCATCATATTAGGACTCAAATATGGGCAAAATTTCCATATATTATGTGCCTCTGGGATAGTAGAGCATTATACCAAGAAATGGTGTGCACCAAAAAAAGAATTCACCCCAGGAAGTTACAGAGTCAAATTACAGCCTTTAGTAGAAGCACATGAAGTCCTCCTTCAACCACTCAAATATAAAATTAGGGTTTTTAAATTAAAAACTTTTCTCAAGAGTATGGACCAAACTGGCTCTGGTCTTCTATATTTGTCAAACTAATTTCCACATATAGGTGAAGCAAAGTTGACTGAAGGTATCTTTGTTGTACCGCAGATCCAAGAAGTAATGAATAGTTAGGAGTTTACATCTAAATTGCTTAGATGTAAACTCCTTAGAAAGCTTAGAATACTTTCAAAGATGTTGTCAACAATTTCTTGGGTAACTTTAAGTCAGTCAGTCTTGTTAAGAAAAAATGTATTGTTAAGAATATGTTATTCAAATTTCTAGCTTTGGGTTGTTGCATAAAGTTGCATTTTTTGGACTCCTACTTTCCTTTTTTCACTATTAAAAGTTTTAGTATAGCCAATTTAACCAACATTCCACCTACTTTGCCAACAAAAAAGGCACATCCATCAGGCAAAGTGCCTATCAACATTAAAAAAATTGTAGATTTGAAAAAAATTGAAAAATATTTTGTTGAGTATAAAGACTTTTATAGTAATATTTTCAAGTGGCCAACTACTGAAGCACACAACTAACATACAGATGTTGAAGAGTAGACTTTATATGATATACTTTATTTCATTATTACTATCTTGTAAATAATATTACAATCTTGTAAACGATTGTATACTTTTATTTTCAATAACAAATTTATAAAGTTCAAAATATTGTTATACTTTTGTTTGAAGTTAGTGTCAGCAAAAAGAACACATGTGCATTTTATAAGCTAATGAATTAAAAATAAAATAATAAAAATAAAAGTAAACTTGCTTTCAAACAGAGTTTCAAACAAAAATCACTGAAAAGACAATTCATAGAGAGATTGATAGTTAATAGTCTGCTTTTATATTGCGCTTTGGTTAATATATATAGTTATATTTTTGGTTAATAAATTTATAAATATAAAAAGTTATAAACAACTTTTAATAGTTTTCTGCATGATTAAAGTTTATTATCTATTTTATACTTTATTGACTTTTTCCTATATTTTTAAATGTTGAATAGCAAATAGTCTTGATGTGGTAAAAAAAAAATTAGATAACATATTTGGAATCATTTGAGATTTCTCACTAATTTACTACTTTCTAAAAACAAAGGAACAATTCTAAGATATAGAAACAGCAATAATGTTTAAAAAAATATCAGATAGACAAATTTTAAAACAATTTCTATAATGAATTTAAAGTGACATCACCTTGCATCTGAAAAAGTTAGCAAAATGGTTTTTTAAAGAGCAACAAAGGCAGAATAAGAAGACAAAAACTACTCAAGGGTAAATTAAGAGATCACGAATTGCGATGACCCAAGCCATTTAGCGATCTTAAAAGTATATTATTTGAAACAATTGCAATTGTTAATTTTTATGAAAAAAGGTTGCACCATGTTTTAAAACAATGTTGATACAAAATAATCTGGTCAGAAGAATATTACTTTTAGTTATTTGTCTGTCAGGCCAGGCAATATTAATTTTAAAATTACTGCATGTACTTTTTGGACCATAAGTAACACCTAGAAATGCTTGTCTGTTAAATATGTTTATTTGTATACACTTTTGAAGTTGAATAAAGCAGTAATGAGCTTTTATTTACCTTATCTATTTTTTTAAACTTTATCATATAGCAATAAGTATTTTTATCATGTATTTGTACTACCTGATTAATCTGTTTAAAACAAATAAAAATAATATTTAAAACATAATAAAACATAATTTTAATACAAATACAAATAATATTTAAAACATAATCTGGTAAACTTTAGTTAATTCACCCTCTTACTACTAAAAACATAACAACATTTAAAACATAAAAACAAAACAGATACTATTAAGCAATACAAAAATATATAAATACCCCACAAATTCTAGAGTTCTCCATCTTTGTTATAAACTTTGTTTTATCAATATCATATTGGATTTTAGCCTCAGACTGAGCTTCAGTATATCGATTGCTTATTTGACCAATTAAAATGTTG